AGGGCCCCACCCTGGTGCCTAACCACCCCCCAAAGGCTCTACATTTCAACACCATAATCAGATAAAGGCTCTAATCTCTGAGAAACATTTCAACCAAATATACTTTTTTTTTTTTTTGAGAGAGAGATTTTTGCAGTAGGGCACGTGCACTCACTGGAGAGACAGAGAGAAAGTGAGAAATTACTCCCCAGGAGGATGGCCATGCCACAATCCCATTTCCTCCATTCTCCTTCCTGGGATTTTGGGCATGAATGCACACATCTGGTCTGAGTTTCAAGCCACTAGGTCCATGACTTGAACAATGGTTGACCATATGCGAGTCCAGAGCCTTAGCCACTATGCCACCTGCTGGCTCTAGGAACATCAATTTCTTTTTCTTTTTAAAGAGGTTTTTGCCATAGGGCGCACACACTCGTTAGAGAGAGAGAGAGAGAGAGAGATGGTGAAAAGGAAAGTGAGAAATCATCCCCTCAGGGGGTATTGCCACCCTCAATTTCTTCTCCTTCTAGGATCTGGGGCACAGGCGGCTGTATGAGTTACAAGCCACAGAGTCAACAATGTGGGAGTCCAGCAATGTAACCACTATGTCACCTGCTGGCCCCAGGAACATCAGTTTTTTGCTATAGGGCATGTGCGCTTGCCAGAGACAGAAAGCAAGAAATCACCCCCCCCCCACCACCAGGGGGGATGGCCATGCTGAAATCCCTTCTCCTTTATTTTCCTCTTGGGATATTGGGCATGCATACACCCACGCGGGGTGTAAATCTCAAGCTGCTGAGTTCAGGACTTGAACCGTGGTCGACTACCTGGGAGTCCAGCGACACAACCATTATGCCATCTGCTGGTGCCCCAGAACATCAAATCTTAACACCAGAATTTGGGGGAGGGGGAACATTCAAAGCATAGCACTATGAATGAACTATATCCTAAGTAATTTAGTTTAACTAATATCACCCAGGAAGCAATTTCTAGGCCCACTTAACAGATGTTTCATGGTGCCATCTCAAAAAGGAATTAAAAACAAAAACTGTTTAAAGTTAGTACTTCAAGAAAATTTTTAAAAATAATTATTCTATTTAATCAGAGAAAGACAGAGAGAGGGTAAGTGAGAAAGCAAACTGCCAGGTCTGGGACTCAAACCACATTCAGCCATGTGTGAGTCCAGTGTCCCTAACCACCACACCACCTGCTGGCCCCAATATTTCAAGAAATTTTATACCTTACCCATGAGGATTGTGTTTCTCTACAGGACTATGAAATGAACTTCTTTAACAAAAGGGGCTGTGTGCATTTTCAGGCACACCAAGGAAAGCAGGAGTTGGGGACAGCACTCATACTATTCACCAATCAGTTTTGGGGAGAGAAAACACCTTTTTAAGAGGAAAAAAGGGACCAGCCCTGTAGCTTAATGGTTCAGGGAGCTGGGTCCCACATAGCTGATAGCAATTCAAATCCTGGTCCCAGAAACTTGAAAAAAATGTGCCTGCATGAGAGCATATGTGTGCTCTAAATCCTGATAGGACTGAGAAATGGAGAAGGGATTGTGGTATGATCCTGTACCCTTGTGGGGTGCTTTTACCCTCTCTCTCTCTCTGACTTGTGTAGGAGCCCTCTAACAGTTAAAAAAGAAAAAAAAAAAAAAAAGGAACCACAATAATATATCATTATGTACTTATTAAAACAGTAGAAAATAAAACACAACACCTCATTGATAATGTTGGCAAGGATGGAGTACAGGCGGGTATGAAGATCTCTCATACACTGCCGGTCGAAATGTAAAATGACAGTCACTTTGGAAAAGAGTACAGCAGTTTCTTAGCTAAACATACACTTACCAGATGACCCCTCAATCATACTTTTAGGTATTTATCCCAGAGAATGAAAATTTAGGTTCACACAAAAACTTGTACACAAATGTTCAAAGCAGTTTTATTCAGAATAGCAAAAATATGAGAATAACTTAAATCTATCTCATCTGGAGGATGGGATGAATAAACTAATACATCCATACAACAGAACACTACTTAGCAATACAAACGAATGAATGCCTGATACCTGCAACAACTGGAATGAAAACTAAGGGCAATATGTTTAGGTTAAAAAACATTACTCTCAGGGACCAGCAGGTGGCATGGTGGTTAAGGCACTGGACACTCCCACATGGCCGACCATGGTTTGAGTCCTCTCTCTGTGTCTCTGGTCAAATTAAAACAAATAAATAAGCTAAATAAATAAATTATTCTTTAAAAAATAAACATTATCAAAAGGTTATATGCTGTGATTCTATTCGCATAACATATTTGAAAGTGATAAAAACTACAGAGACAGAGAACAAATCAGTAGTTACTAGAGGACAGCAATGGAGTAAGAAGGGGGATTTCTGAATACCAAAAAGCAGAATGAAGGAGTTCTTTAGTGGGGATGAAGTGATTCTACTTTTTTTTTTTCTTTTTAAATTTGTTAGAGGGTAGCTATAGTTGCTAGAGAGAGACAGACAGACCAAGATGATGAAGAGGGACACCCCCGAGGGGCGTGTGGTCACACCATAATCCTTTCTCTACCCTGTTGGAACTTTTAGCATGCACATGAACCTGCTATGTTTTTCAAATCATTGAGCCATGCCCCCAAGTGAAATTCAACTTCCTCAACTACTAGGCCATAGGGCTGGCCGCTATTTCCTGATTATAGGGGTGGATATTACTGAATATATACATGAGACGACATTACATTGAACTATACACATATACAGAGCACAGGTTAAAAATATGGTGAACGTTAAGTTCTGCAGTCTAGTGGACAGTAATATATCACTGTCAATCTTCTTCGATTGTTTTATTAGACCTTTATAAGATGTCACCATTCAGGTAGTTGGGTGAAGGACTCTCAGTATTACTTCTGCAACTTCTTGTGAATCTCTAATTATTTCAAAATAATTTAAAAAACAAAAAGAGAGGAAAGTAGGCTGAATGCCTAGGGCTGGTGTTTGGGGGAGGGAGCAAGGAGAGTACAAAGAAGTGGGGTTGGCAGGTGGCGTGGTGGTTAAAAGCACTGGATTCTCATGTGGCAGACCCTGGTTCATGTCTCTGGACCTGGCAGCTTGCTTTCTCCTTCCCTTTCTCTCTCTGGTCAAATGAAAAATAATAACAATTCATATGAATTAAATAAATAAATATTAAAAAAAAGGAGTATGGAGGGGCGAACTAAGGGTGAGAATATTTTCATTAGTTTCATCTATATAAGGCCTAACCCTGTTCCTTACCATCAGTTCTGCTGTCACTACTCCTATGGTGTCTTTCTCTATTGTTTCCTAGTTATGGTGCAGAACGAGCTCTATTCCTAATGGCAAAGCAATACATCTTAGCACATGAAGTGTAATGCAGGCCTTCACCCTTTTTCAGTTATTAAGTTTTCTACTTGTACTTCTTTACTGCCAAAGGTGTGTGTGTTTAATTTTAACGTCTGATTTGATGCCATTGCAGATGTTAGAAGTTGCCAGAATGCTGTCCTTCAGATTACTGTCCCTTGCTTTAGCTTTTATCACTGTCTTGTTGCAATTAACATTCAGAATATGCACTGTCATCTTATTAAAATTTATATTTTTTAATGGAGAAAACACATGGAAAGTTGGTTGTAGAGCTGTAGCTTATCCTTGCTCTTCTTAGTTACCTGTATCTAAATTAAGCTGAACCTCTGGGCCTCAGCTATTTCTAAAGAGGCATCACGATTTACTAAGGTTAATGCCTGGGGGAACATTAACCTTGCAGACACTAATCTAATTCAGTGTCATCACAAGTGCATAATGCGGGAGTTTGGAATTTGGCCAAAAAGCAAATTCAAATGAACATTCAGCTGGCAAGGGGTGGGGAAGTGGGTGTGGACAGGACAAGAACTTTAGAAACGGATACAGTATACAGCTATTTTAATGCCTTTTCCTTTCCCTCTCTCCTCAAAGGCTATATTTAAGTATTGCAGAGAGGCGCTAAATAAATCTTCAGATTATGATGAAGAAATTGTACTGAAGATGTTTGATCTCATGGCAAGTTCCTG